GAAACAAATTTATCAGAACAATTGCTATTAAAGTTTTTATACAAAAGGCACAGGGAAGCTACATTACGGCGTTGGGACAGTGACTGAAGCCGAGATGCCCGACCAGGACCAATAATATTGCAGATTCTTCTTTGGATTTCATCAAGAATCTCTAAATCTGCATATAGCAGAAGCAACAGTATTCAAAGCAAGGACAGACGATATATATATATATATATATATATGTGTGTGTGTGTGTGTGTGTGTGTGTGTGTGTGTGTTTAACCTAGGGAAAGTTACTGAATAAAATAATCACACGAAGGTTGGTAATGAACGATAATACTTAGATCAAGAACAACACATAAGATTCGCCAGCGGCGCGTGGAAGTAGTCAACTGCTAGAAGTGAGTCAAGTGAATTCCCCAGTGAATAGACCGACATACAGTATTTACTACTGTGTTTATGTGAATGAAGACATACCCATTATTGTCCGTAGGTATACTACAACAATGTGTGTGTGCGTGTATGTGTGTGTGTGTGTGTGTGTGTAGAATGTACAATAATAACCGAAAGAAAAGTGATTTTTTTATAGGTATGTAGTAGTTCTTGCAATATAATTATTTAAACGCACACGGAAACCTACACACCTCCGTCTACAATATACCCGTAGAAAATAACGATGATAATAGGCTCACCCACCTGTAATAAAAAGACTAAAAATAATGGAAGTATTAATAATAAAAATGAAAAGGCCAATAATATCAATTATGAACACGGTCACAACCTACTGACCGTGTTTAGAAAATAAAAAGGATCCCCACCAGTACACACACACACACACACACACACACACACACACACACACACACATATATATATATATATATATATATATTATATATAAATTTTTTCTAATTTTTGTCTTTAATGGGATCCTCTCATAATTACCGACAAGTTTCTTAGTATCATTATTAAAGGAAGAAAGAAAATTACCTTGTTAATGCATTCCGAGTGCTTTTGGCATTAGCACAATGTATCCATCAGGGTCTTGTTTTTTCTCAGACAAAAAATTGTTGTGTTCATCATTTTTCTAAAACAAAATGGTAATTTTCTTGCTTCCTTTAATAAGGAAAAAAAGAAGACACTGATGATGACATTGTGCTAATGTCGAAAGTACTCGGATAAAATGCAGCAACATGGTAAGTTTCTTAGCATTCTTAAGAACATTTACCGACGTGAATACCCAAGAAATTTAATAGAAAATATATGTCCTCCGATAGGAATCGAACCTGTATCCTACACGGAATCGTCATATAGCCTGACGTGCTATATCATTTTACTACAGTGACAGCGTCCAGGTAAACAGAAAATATATTAAAATAATTGTCGGACTTAGTCCAATTCATAATATATGTCATTATAAATAATAAATGTGTTCGTGTATATATATATATATATATATATATATATATATATATATATATAATGGACTCTCCCGTCGGTTTCGACGTATGAGGATCTGGCAACTTAACCAATTGATTCAGTTATGTAATTTTGTGCGACATCTTAAGTGGCATTTAAGACCCGCTAGTGATTTACAAAGGAACAAGAGTGGGGATTGTGGGATGAGATCACTGTTTGATTGGCTGACGTTTTAGATCTTGCTCTCCCTTCTTGAAGACGATTCAGACTAGCAGATTGAAAACTGCTGAGTCCACTAAAACATGCTGATCTCCATTCTCCCGCTCCAAGGCTAAGCGCTCAATGGGGTTATGTGGTATATTGACAGCTGACAAGTTGCTCTTCAGCTTGTCTTTGTATTTTAGCCATGGGCGTCCTACATTCCTGTTGCCCTTATCTAACTGGCTGTACCTTAGGATCTTAGGTATCTTGTCATCAGACATTCTCAAGACATGACCAGTCCACCGTAACTGAGACTGTATGAGAAAAGTCTCGATTCCTCCAATATTACACCTATTAAACAGGTCTACGTTAGATGTCCTATATTGAAGGTTAACTCCACAGATTGCACGCAGACAGCTTTTATGGAAAACATCCAGCTGGCGTATATGGTACCTGTATGTAGTCCACGACTCTGAGCCATACAAAAGGATGGCAAGTACAACAGCTCTGTAAACCCGAATTTTCGTATCCAGTCGAATACCCCGCTCATTCCACAAGCGATGGCGAAGTTTGCCGATAGCACTGGTAGCCTTAGCAATCCGATGCATGATTTCATCATCTAAAGTTCCACTGTAGTTGACTTTGCTACCAATATAGGTGAAAGACTTTACATAGTTCAGGACTTTGTCTTCTACTTTCAATGGTCTCTCTGGAAATTTGCTTAGTGTTATGGTGCAGGTTAGGACCAAGGAAGAACAACACTAACACAAGAGTAGAAATAACGAAGGTATATTACACGAAATAATAATACAAGATGTGGAAGTTGTTAGTATGACTGTCAGTCTGGTTTGGAGTGAACTACTATCGGCTCGACCACCCACCACAAGGGTTGCATGTGGCCCAAGACCGAGTTTAACGTGGATTTCCCGAGCCCGTAGGCTCGGCCAAAAAAATGCCCGTAGAACCCGTATAAACGGGACCGGGTTGGTCAACCTCCCCGAACGAGACTCTGCCCTTCGGCGGAGTCTCGTCCGGGTACCTCTCTGCTCAGAAGCAGAAAGTTCGACCGTCAAGCCGAGCTTCTCGGCTTGATTCGTCCCTCTCTCTTGAGAGGCGTAGTATACATAGTGGTAGGTGACACTTCGAAGTAGCTTTATCAGGAGATTTCTATCAGACAGGTGTATTTAGGTGTTGGTCTCAAACAGTTATTCCAAGACCTATCCAAGAATCAACCATTTGTGATTCTTTGATTACACGGTAATTATTTGGGTAAAACTGCTGATTAGGACAGAGCCAAATTTTAAAAAGAAGCATCATTTCTGGTGTAAAAAAAATAATTTACATAACAATTTTATCTTAGAAAAATGATGAACATATCAATAGAAAAAACAAAACCCTGATGATGACATTGTGCTAATGTCGGAAGTACTCGGAATAAAATGCATCAACATAATTTTCTTTCTTCCTTTGATAAGGATTCTTGCCTACTTATTTTAATAGAATCCTTTCATAATTACAGACAAGTTTCTTAGTATCATCGAAGAGGAGAACGAGATACTTGTACTGGTCCTTATATAACTTTTATCATATGGGGACTTTTACCGCACAGGAGTTTTTAGGTGTTAGTCTCAAATAGATAACCTGTATTCCTGGACAATCTCTTCTTAGATGAAGAAGGAATATGTGGCAAAAGAAATGTGGTTCTACAGAAGGATACTGAGGATACCATGGACCCAATATATGAGCAACTACGATGTTTTAGAGAAAATAGAAAGAAAATGAAAACTTATACTTAACATCAGGAAAAGACAGTTGAAATTTCTAAGGCACATAATGAGGAAGGAGGGCTTGGAAAATCTGATACCCACAGGGAAGATTGACGGCTAGAGGGATAGAGAAAGGCAATGCGTAACATGAAGAGCTTGTGTAAATGGATGGCGTAACTGAAACACATTCAAGACATTACTCGATAAGAAAAGGTTCAAAGTTTATTATTTTAAGATTGTTCAGCTTTGGCACGCTCAAGTCACCGTGCTGATAACAAACATGGCGCCAATTTGTTTACATTGCGCAGATCAGTACGAAAATTTCAGTAATTGCACAGCTCAGTGTTGCCAACGTTGTGTGAATTGATTGGACGGTTTTTGAAATATTAGAAAAAATGTTATCTCAATAATAATTTGGCACGCTGTGTATATGCACTCAACATGAACACCATAATTTAAGCGACAACTGTATTCCACTTCTTACCACACCCGGATCAATTGATCGGTGGATATTGAGTTCACAGCTTCAACAATTCGATGTCTCAAATTTTCAAAAAGATTTGAGAAATCGGAAAGAAGGATCAAACAAATGACATCTTTGCGGAATTGGCGGCGAAATTTACGTTGCACTTGCACAATCTTAATTGCACTTCGGAAATTGCAGTACACAAAACGACTTTTCTTGTAGTGTGGACATTTTAAAGATTGACAAAAGTTATAACAAACTAGCAGCATGGCCCGGCGTTGCCCGTGCTTGATTCAAAAATCGTACGACTCATACAGCAATCGCTATCACTTGACTTAAAATATTTTGCCCTTCCTTGCCTTTAAAGGTGCCCTTTGCCGTGCTGATGTTGCTACATGCCTTAATTCTTGCCTATCTCACACTGCGAATTTTTTTCTAAGCTCTATACTAAACATTAAATCTGTTACGAAAAAAGAACTAAACAAAATGAACACAAAACGATCAGCTTTAAAAAAGGACTCGTAACTGGAAAAACCGAATGAAAAAGAATGTTAACAACAAATACTTTTTTCACACCCAAACCAGTTCTGCGGAATCAGAATCAACGTTGAGTTTAAGCCAGCGAATGAACTAATTGGAGTAAAGTGCCATGCAGATTTAAATTTTTTCCACTTGTGACGAATGCAGCTATCGATTTTTTTTGCATGCTAGCATGCGAGTTAACATTCGTGTCAGTCAATAGAATCTTCCTGCCTATTCGTGGCAGCCAGCTATTGGCTCTCACTCTGGCCAGTTAAAATGGCCGCAAACTACATGAAAACTGACGTAGAAGCATGAAAAAATCGATTATTTCCACTATCGATGGGAGTTGGGAAATGCAAAGTCGGTCTTGGCCTTCCCGCTAACTTGGAGCATGTGCATGTAAATTTTGGTGCAAATCCGTCGAAAATTGCGGCCGTGCATTCGTCACACACACACACACACACACACACACACACACACACACACACACACACACACACACACACACACATCCTGCCTTTTATAGATAGAGATTAAAACAAAATCTGAAAACAAAACCAATAAAAAGAAACATTTAAAGAAGGTTGAAATAAAATAATTTATTTTAATAACTTAGAACCGTTTCCTATCTAGTAATATGTTGAATGTTTTTCTTAGCATTTGTTTTTATTAAATATTCTATCCATTCGGTTGACGTTGTTTTTTTCTTTTCTCTTTCTTTCTTTCTTTCTTTCTTTCTTTCTTTGTCTTTTCTCCTTTTCTTTATTTTTTTCTTTTTTTCACTATTTTTTCATTCTTTCATCCTTTCTTTCTTTCTTTCTTTCTTTCTTTCTTTCTTTCTCCCTCGCGCGCGCCTTTTTTTTCTCTCTCTTTCTTTCTCTCACGCTTTTCTTTTACTTTCTCCGTTCGTTCTTTCTTTCTTACGCGCTTTTTCTTTGTTTCTTAAGATCATTTTGTTTTTTGTCGAAAACAACTTCTTTCTTTCTTTCTTTCTTTCTTTCTATTTAACTATCTATCTATTTTTTCATGCAGTATAAACACCTATCGATACATATTTACATATATATCAGTGTTCATATCTATCTATCTATATATCTATCTATCTATCTATCTAATTATCTATCTATGATAATCTTGACCACCACCTTTTCGACTAAACTCGCAAGCCTTCCCAGCAATTCGATTTTCCGTTTCTTTCTGTCTCTTAGCATTTGTTTTTATTCAATTTTCGATGTTTGCTCTTTCTTTTGAATAACCCTGCATATATATATATATATATATATATATATATATATATATATATATATATATCAACACTCAGAGGATACAGGCTGTTTCATGCTAGACGCAATCGACGGGCCGCCTGAAGATTGCGTCTAGCATGAAACAGCCTGTCGCCTCTGAGTGTAAACTTCAATGTTCACTTTTATATTTATATTTACATACGCTATATCTCTGATGTTGAGCACTTTATCCCCTAAATATAGCACACCATAAAACTATATTTCTTCATTATATATATATATATATATATATATATATATATATATATATATATATATATATACTCGTGCAAATTAATTGAAACAAAACGAATAATTCCGTTATTATTTACTTTTTTTCGTATCTTTCCAATGAAACATGACCCAGTGCAGATGTTAGTACTTCATAGGTCCATTCCACGAAGTCGTTGCAGATTGACCACAGATTCTCGATTGCATTTAAATCGGGAGAGTTTCCGGGCCTGTCTATAGTACTTTGATTTGCTCAATAGTAAGGTTTGCCATTGTGTTGGTGCAGCGTTACAATTTTCGTACGCTTCCTTGGGGTAACGTCCATCGCAGATAATGGCCGATAATGGACAACTAAACGACAGTCGAGACAATAGCGTGATGTAAATCTGATGCAATCACGGCTGACACAATATTTTTCAAGGCCAAACAATTTTCGACATCCACCTTGAAAATAGATTGATATTACTGAACACGACTGCAAATATATAATTAAACGTATAAATATAAATAAATGTACGTGTCAGTGTTCACATACAAATACGTACATATATCCTTTGGTGAAAGAAAAACCGTTCTCAATGCTAAATAACGGAGCTATTGAGTATATATTAGTAAAAATAAATGGTACCCTACGCCGACTGTAGGACTTGGAGTTGCGTACTACGGATGCAATCATCAGGTACCGATCTTTGTTTACAGTTTTGGTTTTACAGTTTGGGTTGTAAAGATCCGTACCTGATGATTGCATTAGTAGCAGGAACCTCTGAGTCGTACTGGCGTCATGGAGAAATATGTATTTTTACAAATATATATATATATATATATATATATATATATATATATATATATATATATATATATATATATATGTGTGTGTGTGTGTGTGTGTGTGTGTGTATGTTAGCATAGTAATCTAAAGAATTATGGGGGCTGTCGACATAGGAATTGGCACATCATTTTGACATATAAGGTAATACCAAATGATCTCTTTTCCAATCGAAATTCTCAATAATCAATTTTGATATAGCGGTTCGGTAGGAATTATCTCTCGGATCAGAATATGTATGCCCTTTCCCGCGGATTAAAATACTAATCCTTGACTCTCGACTTAAAATCATTGTAGTGTCTGGAAGCTTTGTGAAAACCTTTTCTATCACAGATACGTGCACTCTATCTATCTATCTATCTATCTATCTATCTATCTATCTATCTATCTATCTATCTATCTATCTATCTATCTATCTCTGCCCATTCATTATCTATCTATCTATCTATCTATCTATCTATCTATCTATCTATCTATGTCCATTCATTATCTATCAATCTATCTATCTCTATCTATCTCTGTCCATCTCTCTCTTCTCTCTCTCTCTCTCTATCTATCTATCTATCTTTGTCCATTATCTATCTATCTATCTATCTATGTCCATCTATCTATCTCATTCCATTATCTATCTATCTATCTATCTATCTCCATTATCTATCTATCTTTGTCCATCTCTATCTATCTATCTATCTATCTATCTATCTATCTATCTATGCCCATTCATTATCTATTCATCTATCTATCTATCTATCTATCTATCTATCTATGTCCATTCATTATCTATCTATCTCTGTCCATTATCTCTCTCTCTATCTATCTATCTATCTTTGTCCATTATCTATCTATCTATCTATCTATCTATCTATCTATGTCCATCTATGTCCATTCATTATCTATCTATCTATCTATCTATCTATCTATCTATCTATCTATCTATCTATCTATCTATCTATCTATCTATTTCATTTTGTTGTCGTTCTTTCTTTTTGTGTGTGTGCGTGTGTCTGTGTGTATGTGTGCCCTGGCGTCGATTTCATCTTTTGAAGGCCTAACACTTCAATTTTCAGAAGTGAACCGCCAGACTACACTCACGTCGGATTTGATTATTAAGGGCCTGTGAAGAACCAGTCACATCGTTTCTGAAGAACTGATAACAGAAAAATGGTCTCTCCACAGTTCTGAATTTAGACTTTCACTTCTCCCATATTGAATGCCAACCAACGTAAGAAAGCCGAGTCTGATCCACTATTTAACCCATAGCTGAGGAAGATGGATTCATGCATTTTCCAAGAGAATTAACTAGAGGTGAACAAAACAGAGTAGGCCAGAATTTGAACTAGGCTCGACATATTCACTTTCCACGTTTTTTGTTTGTCTGTCTGTCTGTCTGTCTGTCTATCTATCTATCTATCTATCTATCTATCTCAGTCTGTCTATCTATCTATCTATCTATCTATCTCATTCTGTTGCTATTTTTTCTTTCTATCTTGGGTTTAAATTTTTTTTCTTAGAAAATAAAGTAAATAACATATTTTTAAAGATTCTATTTAATAAAATTTCATTTCATTTAAAAAAGTAGTTTTTCTAATAATTGTGAAAAATATTTTCTTTAAATAAAATAAGATTTTCATTTTTACAGAATAGTCAGTTTCTGTGATGTTGAGTAGCGCACACGCGCACGCACACACATATACACACACATATACGCACACAGACATATAAATAGATAGATACGAACAGACTGAGATAGATAGATATATCGAAAGAAAGAAAGAACAATAACAGAATTATAGATAGATAGATAGATAGATAAACACAAACAGACTGAGATAGATATATAGATAGATAGATATTTAGAAAGAAAGAAAGAAAGAAAGAAAGAAAGAAAGAAAGGAAAAAGAACAATAACAGAATGAGATAGATAGATAGATAGATAGATAGATAGATGGTATTTATCAATTCACCCACAGGAATTGAATGTGGCACAAGGCCTTTTTAATGTGGGTATGTCTGAGCCCACAGGCCCTTGAATGTGGCACAAAATAAAACCCATCTAAACCCGTCCAAGCAGGCTAGTTCCCATCTCAACCTCCCCGTGAACGAAACCCCCACCCTTCGGCGGAGCTTCGTCCGGGTTCCTCTCTGCAAGCAGAGAGTTCGACAGACACCCGACCTCACAAAGGCAGCTCTACAAAGCCACCGCAGATTTTCACTACACTTTGATAGATAGATAGGATCGAACGAACAGAGATCTAGCAGAGCTAGATTACACACTAATAGATTTATACAGTGTAATAGATAGATAGGATATAAGAGAAACCCTAATATAAGATAAACCCGGATATAAGAGAAACCCGGATATAAGAGATATTTTCTCTGGTCCCAAATTAGAGCCTGTGTTAATGTATATAAAATAGACCAAACCCGGATATAAGAGAAACCCGGATATAAGAGACTTCTTCTCCGGTCCCGACAACTCCCTTACATCCGGGTTACACTGTATATGTGTATATTTGTGTTATTTAGCCTTACACAAATAATCCCGTCACTTAAAGACATTATGATAGTCAACTATAAATGTCGTACACGATGTTTATACGAATCTACGGATGTTGTACTTCAAACTGAGGCTGTTTCGGGGATGAAATACTTTGAAAAGGGATCAATTTACCTTATAATATCCATCCAAATGATCAATTTTCCAATCGCACTTCTCAATAATCGGTTTTGATATGGCGATTCCGTAGGAATTATCAGCATTAACATCATTAATCCCATTGTAGCGGTCACATCAATGACGCTATCGTCTGCTTCTGTCATTCATTGAACGACTCAAAGAACGTCTTATCTACCAATCAAGAAAATCACGGGTTTGAATGTCGATGAGATTTTTGTTAAAATGTTTATTTATTTATTTAGAAAAGAAACTAAAAAAAAAAAAGAAGGAAAGAAACGTATTTACAAGTCATCATTTATTGAAGGTTAATTTAAATGTAATTTTTTTTTTTAAATAAATAATAAATATTTTTTTAAATTAATTAAATATCAACTTTAATAAAAAGGAACGAAAAAGAGAATGTAAGCAAGGAACTATAAGAAAACGGATACTATACGAAGAAAGAAAGAGAGAAAGAAAGAAACGGTAAATAAGAAAGAAAGAAAGAAAGACAGGAACGGTAATTAAGAGAGAAAGAAAAAAGAAAGAAAGAAAGAAAGACTAAATAAGAAAGAAAAATCTCAAAGTAAAAAAGAAAGAAAGTGTAAATAAGAAAGAAAGAAACTAAATAAGAAGGAGTGAAAGAAAAATAAAGTAATAAAGAAACTGTAAACAAACTGGAAAGAAAAAAGTTGTAAATAAGAAAGAAAGAAAGAAAGAAAGAAAGAAAGAAAGAAAGAAAGAAAGAAAGAAAGAAAGAAAATCTGTAAAAAAAAGGAAGAGAAAAGAAAAAGCTGTAAGAAAGAAAGAAAGAATGAAAGACAGGAACGGTAAATAAGAAAGAAAGAAAGAAAGAAAGAAAGAAAGAAAGAATGAAAGACAGGAACGGTAAATAAGAAAGAAAGAAAGAAGCTGTAAATAAGAAGGAAAGCAAGCAAGAAAAAAGAAAGAAAGATAGGAAGAAAGAAAGAAGCTGCAAATAAGAAAGAAAGAAAGAACGAAAAATCTGTAAAATAAGAAAGAACGAAAAAGCTGTAGATAAGAAAGAAAGAAAGAAGAAAAAAAAGAAGCTGTAAATAAGAAGGAAAGAAAGCAAGAAAAAAGAAAGAAAGATAGGAAGAAAGAAAGAAGCTGCAAATAAGAAAGAAAGAAAGAAAGAACGAAAAATCTGTAAATAAGAAAGAAAGAAAGAAAGAAAGAAGCTGTAAATAAGAAAAAAAGAAAGAAAAAAGAATCTGTAAATAAGAAAGAAAGAAAAAAGAATCTGTAAATAAGAAAGAAAGAAAGTAAGAAAGAAAGAAGCTGTAAATAAGAAAGAAAGAAAGAAAGAAAGAAAGAAAGAAAGAACGAAAGAAGCTGTAAATAAGAAAGAAAGAACGAAAAATCTGTAAATAAAAAAGAACGAAAGAAAGCAAGCAAGAAAGAAAGAAGCTGTAAATAAGAAAGAAAGAAAGAAAGAAAGAAAGAACGAAAGAAGCTGTAAATAAGAAAGAAAGAACGAAAAATCTGTAAATAAAAAAGAACCAAAGAAAGCAAGCAAGAAAGAAAGAAGCTGTAAATAAGAAAGAAAGAAAAAAGAATCTGTAAATAAGAAAGAAAGAATTCAAGAAAGAAAGAAGCTGTAAATAAGAAAGAAATTGTATAAAAAAAGAAAGAAAGAAAGAATGTGATAACAAAAATCGAACGGGAAAGAGAAAGTAACAATGAAGTATGAATAAAAAATATAAGAAAAAATGAAAGAAGGAAATAAACTTTAAATAAAGACAAAAGAAAAATATAAGAAAGAAAAATACAATGAATGAATGAACAATGAGAAAAAATTAACGAACAGATTTTTGCCGCTTTTCATTTTTATTTTATTTTTACTTTTTGAGTCCATAAATACAAACCCCGAACACCGCTTATTTTTTCCCGTTTTGCTTTGTTTTGATTCTCCTATTAAGAAAAATCGTTATTCTTTTTTTTCCTTTCCTCTCGTATTAAAGTATTGACTACAGACACTAAAATTCTATTTGTAAAGTTCTTTCCCTGTCTGCACGTGTACATCTCTTTTTCATTTTTCCTTCAGTTATTATTCCGACTGTCGTCCGCCAGTCTCCCTCCTTTTGCATCTTTCTCTACCGCCTCGTTTTCGTTCTGTTGTGTGTGTGTGTGTGTGTGTGTGTGTGTGTCAGGCCTTTGCTTCTCTTCTCTCTGGGAACGTCGTCACAACACATATACAAACTTAACTGCCTGCCCTTTCCCTCTATTGCCCTTTCTCTCGATCCGCCCGTCTGTTGATGTAGATCGGGCAAGAACTAAGGAGGTGGATATTAAAGCTTTAACACCGTCGAGGAAAAAAGCGGAAGAAGAATTAATGTTGATGGTTATTGGTGCGACGAAGAAGTCGACAAAATAACGAGGATGGCGGTAGGAGGAAGGATGGGAAAGAGGAAGAAATAAACAGGTAAGAAATTCTACCACAGGTGGCATGGACCCTCGAGGGGTTCGCAAACTTAATCCTCCGACCGTGGGCCCGAACGCACGCGACCCGGTCGGCTAGCGTCCGCCTCATGCCAGGTGAGCGGAAGAGGCGCGTGCCGGGCTATCGGGGAGCGTGCGCAGTGTGCGCATAGCGCACGTGACCTCAATCACTCGTCTCTCATTGTCCAATCCTCGGCCTTGGATGCAGCGTGATGAAGTTGGGAGTAAAAACAAAAGAGAAAGAGAGCGCGCGGGAGATAATGAAAGAGAAAGGAGAGGTACTGAGAGAATAGAGAATACGCATGCGCACAAAGCAAAAGAGCGAGAAGCAGAAATTTACCAATGAAGGAAAAGAGTTTGAACAACAACAAAAAAAAATGACGTATTTCATTTTGACGACGCTATAAAGTTGAAGAAAAGAACAAGATAAAAAAAAAATTGGATATTATTAATAATATTTGCCTGGAGTCGGTGTTGAAAGCATAAATTTTGAATGCTGGGTTTTTAAGGCCGACAGACCCGCGTAACTTAAAACACTGGCGTAACACGATCTTCCTATCCGCATTCGGCTTTTGGAACTGCGTGTTGTGGGGATATTGGCTCGGAATGGCAAATCGGAGAGCCTAGTTTGAATTCCAGTCCGGTTCATAACTTTCACATACATGCAAAAACTCTTGAGAAAGGTATGACTCCATTTGTTCAAAGCTATGAGCTGAATAGCAGGACAGACTGGTTCCTATGACTTTGAAGAAAGAAACGGCAACCTACTGCGGGAACATCTACCTCGGCAGCCATGAGTTGAAAGAGACATGATCGCCTAGGCGTGTATCACGTATTGTACTAAACTTAACAAATAAAATTCACCTGTGACTGGTGATGGAGACCAGGTTTTAAAATACTATTTTTTTAGGCAGATTTTCCAACCCGGAAAGGTTGACGCTATACAATCTTTCCCTTCTATCGTGTTAAACTTAAAGCATATTGTAAATAACAAGGTAGACGCAAAGAATAATAAAATTGTCTTATAATTAGTGTCCGAACACAGGTGAAAAAAGTTTTAGAATGTTGACCCTTTATGGCAAGCGCAACTCTATTTTCCTAATAGGGTTCAGTCTTTAATTTTTATTTACAACTAGATAAATATTAATTTTTTTATATACTAAAACTCACACAATATAATGCCCGAGAGCCACTCAAGGGAGATGTTAAAATAGTAATTATGAATGACTAATTCATCTGCTTGTTTAAAAGCATATCAACTCTATATGGATCATTTAATTCCGAAATTTAATTTTTTTTGGAGGTTTGAAATAATAAAAATACGATATGTTATTCTGTTTTCGCAATCGAATACATGGTAGATGATACTCAGCTTTTATGCATATACATGTCTGTGTGGACACAAGAGGCGGTGGTATGTGTGTTTTATGATGTAGTTTTATTCAAGTTATATTCTGGAATACAGTTTGATTTCTTTCAGAAATTCTAGGATATTATATTGACTAATGTCATGAAAGAGTTCTTTGTGTTGGTTAACTTGGTTTTGTTTAGCGGCATATCAACACTTCTATGGGTAATTTAGTGCCGAAATCTAAATATTTTGAATACAATTTTATGGCTTCAATTCAGATAAAATGTATTGTTGGTCATTTTACTATAAAATGTATTGTTGGTCATTTTCCTTTAAAAATGTATCGTTTGTAATTTAATACTTAATATATAAATACATATTTTAGATTATTTTTTAATATAAAAATATATTGCTGGTATTTTTTACTATAAAAATATATTCTTATACTTTCAACGTGTTTTCTTTTTGTTTTGGGATCCACTATTTGCCCAGAGTTCGGGGCCCCCTAACAGGTGCTACTACCTCGGGTCAGAGTGAACATGGGAGCAACAGCTATTAAGAGATGGTTCCACGCTCCACAAAAGCACCTTGCTGCCGGATGTAGTTTATCGTCACACCCAGGGCTAAATTATGAATGAGATGTGGGATATGAGTGAAAGATAAGAAGGCAAGAACTTAACGACTGCGAGAATAGATAACAATTGGCACTTGATTTAAAGACGTTAATATTCTAGTGTTCAAGGAAGCATCCACTCCGGAGTCTTTTTCACAGAATAGCAGTTATTAGTGAAAAATCTGTCAGAGTGAAGCTTTCTCCTTACAATTAGTACACGGGTGAGATGAGATTGTTTCGGCTTCGTGAAAGTAACAAGGCGTGTCCGAGCTCCAAATATCTGATTATTAATGATATTATAATTATTATAATTTTAAATAATATAAGAGATTGAAGCCTTTATTATGATAAACCAGGCTTTCCAAACAATATGCCGTACGTGTATAGTAAAATTACGAATAAAAGGCACTGTGGAGTAATGGATAACGGATTGAGGAATCGGAGAGCCGAGTTCGAATTCCAGTCGAATCCATTACATTTACTTACGTGCTAATACTCTTTGTGAAAAGTATGAGTCATCTTCTTTTCCCACAGCTATGGGTAAATAGCGTTGGCTTGCAACTGGTCTAGGAGGACAACTCTGAATTCAAAACCTGCGGAGGGTCGTTTGGGGACCTTGTGGTACGTAGTGCACCAGGTCTCTGTATTCGGCCCTTCAAAAAGTGTGGTTGGTTCTGCACAAAACCTTCACCACTATAATCAAATCACATCTGCTGGTGCCTGCCCATCGGTTCCTAGGAAACGAACTACTTGACCCTAATATATATATATATATATATATATATATATATATATATATATATAATTATTTATTTAAAAATAGCCATTTTGTTTCAACACCTCCGGTGCCTTATCAAGATGATCTTAAATGCATATATATATATATATATATATATATATATATATCAACAAATTTTATCTAACTATCTCTCTAACCTCATTATGTAAAATAATACATCATATGCAATATAGGCGAACAATTCAACTAGAAAAACTGAAAATAAATACAATCTATCTAAATACAAAGGAAGAGGTCGTTACGCGTTCCGTTGTTCCCGGGGGTAATGGAATCGGAGAGCCGAGTTCGAATTCCAGTCGAATCCATTATATTCACTTACGTGCCAATACCCTTGGAAAAGGTATGACTCCTCCCCCCCCCAGCTATGGATAAATAACAGGATAGACCGGGTTCTATAGCTTTGGATGACAACTTGTCTAACGCAGAAAGAAATGGCAACCTACTGCGGGAAAAATAATCTGCCTCGTCAGTCATGTATCGAAAAATACATGATCGCCTAAGCATGTATCACGTATGTCACATACCTGACTGACTGACGAATATAAAATTGCGACGAGCTCTTCACTATGGTAACTAGACTTTTAAAATTTAATCGCAGTACGAGACTGGCGTTGAGATCTCATCAATTTATAGTTGAGCTGGCTAGATGCCACCGTAAGTTCTATGTTGACAGATTCCTTTTCTCGCACTTCTCGATTGGGGAACCTTTCCAACTTAAAAAAAAACCTGCAAAAATTTAAATGCAATGTAAATCTATATCTACTGATTACACTTTCCTCTTCCCGTTCATCATTAATGTTTTTGTTTCTAATTCTCCCATACCGTTTAACCTCTTGTATCTTCGAGGCTTTACTGCCTTGCATGGGGTGAAACCGATCAAACAAAGATTAAACAAAGTCACTCAAAAACGCATGAGGCTATTTATCACTTTTTCTCGAGGAACCAGTAACGACCTCTTGCGGAATCCTAGTGCTCCAGGAAACAACGAAACGCGAAACGACCTCTTGAGGAATCCTAGTGCTCCAGGGAACAACGAAAAGCGTAACGACCTTATGCGGAATCCTAGTGCTCCAGGAACAACGGAAACAACGAAACGCGAAACGACCTCCTGAGGAATCCTAGTGCTCCAGGAACAACGAAAAGCGTAACGACCTTATGCGGAATCCTAGTGCTCCAGGAAACAACGAAACGCGAAACGACCTCTTGAGGAATCCTAGTGCTCCAGGGAACAACGGAACGCGTAACGACCTCCTGCGAAATACTAGTGCTCCAGGCAACAACGGAACGCGTAACGACCTCCTGCGAAATCCTAGTGCTCCAGGGAACAACGGAACGCGTAACGACCTCCTGCGAAATCCTACTGCTCCAGGGAACAACGGTTGAGAAACACTGACAATGAGCTTAGGGCGATGTTCTAAACGTAGCTGAGATGTAGCACTAGTCCGAAAGTATGGAGCCTCCAGTGAGTATCGAACTCACTCGTCAGTCGCAGCTGATCTAGCAAGACAAGTTGGCTAACTACAACACGTCGAAGTGCTCCTGGCAAATATAGTTACAGCTACCAATTTCACCAGCGAGATCAGGAGACCTAGCTGCCAATCTAGCACTGCGCTTAAATTCATGAAGTCGAGTAACCAAAGCGGAATGCTTATGAGAAAGAAAGTATGGCTTAGTAAGAAATTAGAATTTAAAAATTAAATTAAAATAAATTAAATTAGATTGATCCAAAGGTCATCCCTGTGCCTGTCATATGTGATAGGAATGAAAAGTGCCCACTCTGAATTTCATTACAAAAAAATCGATACTTATTGCATTGAATTTTCATTGATTCTTTTACGTTTATAATCTACTAGACTATCCGTCTCTCGTTGGGTTATTAACGGTTCAGATTATAAAACACTGAAGTTGATTTCAACATTAAAATATTGTCTGTTTGAAGAGAGTTGAAATAAAAAAACTTCACCGTATAAACAACTCGTATTTTTAAATCTAATTCTCTTAAAATATTTTTTTTAAATCAGATTAACTTAAGAATATTTTTAATATGGAAAAAAAGTATTTTAGATCATACTCACTTGGAAAAAATTTTTAAAAATGCCAAAAAATATTTTTTTAATATTTAAAATGTTTGTTTAAAAAAAGCTGAACTATAAATAATTGCTCTATAAACAACTGAACGAAACGGCAAAGCGGGATCTCTTTGTGTCTGTCTTTAATTTACAAATATTTTAATTAAAAAACTGTCT